GCCGAGCAGGGAGCCCAATGTGGGGCTCGATCCCAGGACCCTGGGATCATGACCCGAGCTGAAGGCAGATGCCCAACGACTGAGCCACCCAGGCGCCCCTATAGCCCCTATTTTTTTCAGCCTACTTAATGCTTCACTGCTCCCATTTCATAAAGAAGTACAGTTCTCTTGTACTTATATGCCAATTATAAGGCAGATATGATTCTCAGACCTGAGGTAACCTGAAGTCAGTGGAAGTTGGCCTGAAAACGTGAAGGCATCGTCTCCGGAGCCATGCCCAGTCATGTCTACTCAGTTGCTCGTTCAATTATAACAAGTCTAAACATCATCTTCAGACCAGGTAGTTTGCTGGTAACCTGCCCTTGCCGGAAGGAAAGTGAACGAAAAATTGTGTCTGAGCTAAAGATTGCGGCTGGTAATTTCAATACTTTCCCCTTTTTTTTTAAGAACTGAATATTTTGTCTTGACTCCTCATTAAATAAACCCAACTGTGTTTTTTAGTTGCTTAGGATATAAGCATTTCAGAAATAAGCTGATTTATTTTTTCCCTCCAAGAATTTCATCAGTGTTTTACTTCTGTGTTATTTTTATAACAAACTGCAGAGATTTTTCAGTCTTTGCTGGCAGGCTGAAACTTTAGTGTTGGTAGTAACAACGGAATTTCCTGGCACTGCCTTGGAGGGGGGAAGAAGAGGCATCCAACACTGCTAGTGCCAAGAAATCATTCGGAAAGAAACATGGTTTATTACGTTCCTTATAGCTAGAGTTAATGTAGTTAAACACACTACTTTATTATCAAATTGGTATTTGGGTTTCTCAAAGTTGGTTACTGACTGAAAACATGCAATTCTGATAAGTGTTTAATCTAAGAAAATACTATTACTTAAAGACAGACACTCAGAGAAAACAAGGTATATCTAATATATTGGTTTTTGACATATTTTCCCACATGATCTATCTATCTATCTACATATACATGTAAATATATTATTATATAACATATATTATTTACATGATCAAAATATTAGGGGAATTAAGAAACCAGGGAGACCGTTAAGATCTGTTACATAAGTTAGATCGCAGGTTACGCATAAATTCTCCTTGTGTTAGCTAATTCCATCCCTTTGCTCCTCAGGAGCACTGCTTCACCTTGCTTGGGAATGGTTAGACCGATGAGAGGAGGACATGTGTTTCCATTCAAATGACCTTGCTTCCAATTCTGGTTCTACTGTAAACTAGCTGTGTGACCTTAGATACAAAGTACTTTTCTCAGCCTGTAAAACAGACAGGAGCCATAAATGCAAACCTACAGCAAACATCATACTTAGTGGGGAAATACTGAAAGCTCTTCTCTAAGATCAGGAACAAGACAAGGTGCCCACTTTTGCCACTTCTGTTCAACATAGTACTAGAAATCCTAGCTAGAGCAATGAGGCAAGAAAAAGGCATAGAAGATGCACAATTTGGTGATATAATCTTAAATGCAGAAAACCCTAGGGCGCCTGGGTGGCTCAGTTGGTTAAGCGACTGCCTTCGGCTCAGGTCATGATCCTGGAGTCCGGGGATCGAGTCCCGCGTCGGGCTCCCTGCTCAGTGGGGAGTCTGCTTCTCCCTCTCCTGCTCCCCCCCTCTTGTGCTCTCTCTCTCTCTCTCATTGTCTCTCTCAAATAAATAAATAAAATCTTTAAAAAACAAAATGCAGAAAACCCTAAAGATTCCATAGTAAGATACAAAAGCAACACCCAAAAATCAGCTGCATTTTTATATACTAACAATGAACAATCTAAAAAGGAAATTATGAAAACAACTATATGATTCCACTTATATGAGATACTTAAGAGTAGTCAGACTTACAGAGAAAGTGGAATGATAGCAGCCAAAGGTTGGAGACAGGGAGGAAGAAACAGGAATTAGTGTTTACAGGTTTCCTCTTTCTATGGAATTAGATCATAAGCATCATTAACTTAATAAGAAGGATTTCACTTTGTCTTGTTATAATTAAAAAATACCTTACCAGAGGTACTTTCAAATTCTGAAATATAAAGTATTATGGAATCTTGCTTTAAAAAAAAAAAAAAAAGATTTTATTTATTTATTTAGAGAGAAAGAGTGAGCGAGCAGGGGTGGGGGTAAAGGAGAGGGAGAATCTCAAGCAGACCCCAGAGCTGAGCATTAGCTAGACATGGGGCTTGATCCCCCGCAGAGTCAGATGCTTAACTGACTGAGCCAACCAGGAGCCCCTGGAATTCTGCCTTATAGTTACTTAGAACAAGCTGAGGTTTCCTAGTACTTGCCTCTTGCAATCTAAAAACAACAGGGACTTTCTTTTCTGTACAGGCAGCTATGAAGTTATCAGGTAGTAACTGTCCATCTGAAAGGAACTGGTCATCTTTCCCTTGATCAATTAGTATGTCCAGCTGAGAACCTGGGTAGGACTTCACAAGATGGGTAGCATCATAAGCCTAGAAAAAGAAAAATATTGAAAAATAAATTTGAAAGTGCCCAGAAATATGTTCTTCAAAACAAAATGCAGTAGAACCAAATATAAATTTAACATTATTTAAGCTCTAAGGATGATTAAACCGGAAAACTGCTTTATCGTTGTCTTGCCTGGTTTTTATTTATAAGGTCTTCAGAAATCTATGTCCCACTTATAGCCTCTTCTCTACTTCGAAGCAATGCTGGGCCAGTGGCAAGAATTCTGTATCTCAGCATTCTTCATAGTACAGACTTTTTTCTTCTAAACCTCTGAGGTTCTTAATCACCTCCCAACTCTAAAATCGTAATTTTTTTTCTTTATAAATCCCTCCACAAATTGACTATTTCTTCTAACTTCCTTATCTTTTTCTATTTCCAGATATTTTCTATTTCAAATAGTCTGTTTTGTTGCCTCTTCTTTTTGGCTCTAATTCCAGACTTAAATACATTCAGCCTTCTCTTCTGCGGTCTGTTGAACAGCACCAAATGTCTGCTATCCCCATGAGCATAATCTGAATCATATAAACAACCCCTCAAATTTGTTATCTGAGGAGCTGCCACTAGTTACAAGTTCATATTTTACCATCCACCTTTAAGTATTCTGGATTATTCATATATATTCACTATCACAACTTCTATGTACCAATCAAGACAAACAAAAACCCAAAGAGTTCCCCTTCTAAAGTAACCTGCTTTTAAGACTTGCTTTCTTTACTCTTATAAGGAGAGACTGGAAGGGGATCTATAAAGTCCAACTAGTTCTAAGCTCTGTGACTTCGTAATTCTGCATGGCCTCCTTATTCCAACACTAAATTAAATAGCCTAAACGCAACATAATTAAGATGGTAAAATCTACTGCCACTTAGGGAAAAATTATAGAATTAGATTCCTTTATATATTACCTGTGCCTCTACCTCTCCCCTCCTTTCTTCCAACCAGTTGGTCTTTTTCTTTCTTTTTTTAAGATTTATTTATTATTTGAGAGAGAGAGAGAGCGCAGAGGGACAGAGAGAATCCCAAGCAGAACTCCCCGCTGAGTGGGGAGCCTGACTTGGGGCTTGACCACCCATGAGATCATGACCTGAGCTGAAATCACAAGTCGGAGCTTAACTGACTGAGCAACGCAGGCACCCCACCAGTTGGTCTTTTACCCAACTCTCCCATCAGAACCTAAGCCCCGTGTGGATGTGAAAGGTTATCATCACCTTTGTGACCTAAGATCTCAAACTCCACTCAGGCTCTGCACAGTGGCAAGGCCTCCAAACACCCAAGTACATGCACCATCAGCTCTCAAAGTACCTAACAGTAATCATTTTCTGCATTCTTCCAATATAATAAAAATCTGAGCCTAAACAAAACAGAATTCTAATCTAGTGCCTAAAAGATTAACCCTCCAATTTGTTAGAATTTCAATGTCCAATCTTTTTTTTTTTTTTTAAAGATTTTATTTATTTATTCGACAGAGACAGAGAGAGAGGCAGAGGGAGAGGGAGAAGCAGACTCCCCGCCGAGCAGGGAGCCCGATGCGGGACTCGATCCCGGGACTCCAGGATCATGACCTGAGCCGAAGGCAGTTGCTCAACCAACTGAGCCACCCAGGCGCCCTCAATGTCCAATCTTAAATAAAATTAAGATCCATGTGTGAATGACGCCCCCTGAACACACAACAGTCAAAAAAATTTTTTTCTTCCCCCCACTCAGGTATTTTCCACTTGTTAACATGATGATGAATGCGTTTGCCAAATATTCAAACTCTTGGCAATGTTTGCAAATAGCTTATTTCTGCACAAAAGTCAAATGGGTCTTGGGAGAAAGAGCCATTTTTAAATTTTCGTTTTGAAGCATCTGCTCCCATGCTTGAAAAAGCAATCTTGCTACTGGGAAGGTTCACATAAATGTACATTACACAATATCTATTTTTAAAAACTTTTAAGTCTGGAATTTAAAATCCAAATCTGAGAAATGCTGGATTTTGAAACAGATACAGGAAATAATTAAAAGGCCAGGACTCATGCTTCCTGTTGTACAACTGCGTACATGGTTAATAAGAGGCAAATCTAAAGTCAATAATAAAATGTGGTATTTATTGGTAATGTTAATTTAGAAATAAACACAAAAATTAATCATTAGAATAAAGAATGTAGTTTCAGAACATCCACCACAATTCAATACAATTAGAAAACCGGGCTTTTTTGTTGTTGATCTTGTTCTACATATATTCTTTTGTTAATTATTTTAGCTCTGGATCTTTTAGTGAGTTAGGAATATAATGTCTGTGGTGCGTAGCTTTTTCACAAATCTGAAAACTTAAGAATGAGTATGAAGACAGCCATCCCAGTACCTACCTTCCATTTACTTTGATCTGTTCCCAAATATCCACTAAAGGCTTTTTTGCCCCAAGGACAGAGCACTGGGTTGCAAATGGGAGCAAATGCCGACACAGACTTCAGAAACAAAGGAAATTTAAAAACAAGTTATATTTTGCTAAATCAAATATGAACAAACATTTGCAACTTGCTTAAAAACTCAGAAATTTATTTGCAACTTGCTTATAAACTCTGACTTGCCATGAAAACACTTGTGAACAATTTTCCATTGGTTATATGAAGTGCTGAGATTGTAGGCCTCTCCATGATACATCTTTTGTATGTTCTATTATGAGAGCTAATTAACCACAGGTGCCAACAGACTGTAAAGCAATACATTACATTTTCATTAAATAATAATTTCAATAAATAATTAATTTCATTAAATAACACATGCAAGTTTATATTCAGTTTCCACTCATTTTTTCCACTTACAACTAATGAGTAGTAATATAGAACAGTTTACACTCACCTTTGTGAACCTGTTATTAAATCTGAAACACATTATTTCTCTTAAAGAGGGCCAAGAAAGCATTGAGCAATGCATTAAAATTTGTGTTCTATGCAGTGTTGTTTTTAACTGGATAAGTGGCAAAGATGGAATCGTTCAGTTTCAGAGCGCTTCTAAAAGTATATATTTATCAATGTCTATTACCTTTTTTAAAGGACAAAAAACAACTGAATTTGATTTTCTCCCTTAAACGTAATAAAGTAATTGTCTTATGTACAAAAAATGGAAAATAAGACCTTATTTTAAAAACCTACTGTCAAGCCATGAATTAGTTCAACTTTGTAATAAAGTCTGCTAAAAGAAAAATATCTGGTGCCACAATAAGAAACTGCTCTAAGAAATATTGTCATTTCTCAGGGGCACACCTGAAATGGCTAAGAAGTCCTTTCTAAGGGAAGGACATGGATTAAACAAATCTTGAGGTATCTGACAGCCCTGTGATGTTAAAGACAGAAGCTCCTGAGATTATCACTGCTTCAGCATTTCCTTTTTCAACATGATGGCATGACTTTGCCCAGGACATTTTACATATGGTGGTTATTCCAACTTGGCTTATTTAAATGACAAAAAAGTGAAGCTATACTGTTTCAAAAAAATGAACAGAAATACTGACAGTGTTATTTTTCAGTCAAGCTGCAATCCAATTTCCATCAGAGGCAATGAGAAGAGAGAATACTTAAACTTTTACAAATCATGAATATTTTCTACCTCAGAAAATTAAAGTCAACTTAACAAAGGTATTCCTGGTAAAAATATTAAGTGATATACACCGCCACAGTAATAAGAATAAGCTTTAGGAGAAAAAAAATGCCTAGAAAACTATAGTTTGAATAGAAGCAATAAAAACTGCTTTACCATACTTCTAGTAGACCAACTGTGATAGAATTCCTATATTTCTGATTCTGGAGCATATAACTGTGTGGTCAAATTTAATACTCTTCCCCTACAGCCCCTTGAAACTCCCAACACTAGAAAAGTTTAGTCCCAGTACTATAAAATAACAATATCCTAGTTTCACTCTTTGAAAGTTCCTAACTGATATTATCCAAGAGAAATACTTGTCACTGAAAGCTTCGGTAATCTTACTTTGTACTTTCCAGGATTCTTCAAAGCACAAATCAGAGCTCCATGGCCTCCCATGGAGTGGCCAAAAATAGACATCCTTTGGGGGTCCACTGGAAAATTGGCATTTATGAGTTGCGGAAGCTAGAGAATTTAATAGTGTGACAAAAGATATGAAAGAAACAAGTTTAGACTTCTTCAAAGTCATATAAAATAATTACACAATTAACACTTCCAAATCACAGTCTTACAATACTATGAACTAATAAAGATGAAAAAAAGTCTCAGGTAGACA